TCTTTCCCCTTTGTCTGGCCATGGTCAGTACACTTGTTAAACAAACACTGTCTGGTTGGCATCCCCATCAGCGGCCGGGCTTACAGTAACCTGTCAGATCAATCTTTGTGCTCAGGTCTGAAGAAGGACATCTCTGTCCCCTTGATGTGGGGGAGTTGTGAATGTGTGAAGCTTCAGCTTTGCACATCTCTGGATCTCATTGATGGCTTGTGTATTGGATAAATATACAGAAGCTTCAACTGTCTTGAACTATTTGCTGGCTTGCAGAGGGATGCAGTCAACTATATTCATGCCTGGCTCTTAGTCTCTAGGCAGACTAAGTAGTGTTTGATTCCCTAAATCATAAGGATGACCAAAATCTGGTTAAAACAGGCTAAAAAGAGTTATTATAGACTGCATACTTTCCATATTCAAGCTTACATGAGCTTGTTCTCTCGCTTTTCTTGAAACACAGCAGGAAAATAGTCTAGTTTGTTGCTTAGCAAAACTCCTCTTGTTCCATTTAATTGGAGCAACTTGGTGCTGCTTTAGAGCAGATATTTGGTTATCTTAAAACTGGTGCTTCCTTTCTAGTCTGGCATGTTTGTCAATGTCTTTTAATGTTTCTTTTGATAGTGATTTGTAAGCCCGGTGCTGTAGCAAGTCCTACCTCGTGATTTGGAACAGGCAGCTTTTGTTTTTCATTTGATTTTTCTTTTCCTGGCCCAAAGCCCTAAGATTGCTAATGTTTGCTTTCATATCCAATACTGTTTCCACTGAGCAGCTGTTTTCTCTTAATGAAAGCCTTAATAATCTGCAGAGTATCAAGTGATTTGATCTGCATTGTTAATGCAATTACCAGTATAAGTATAAGGGTGAGGTTTGACCTTTCCCTTTGATTACCAGCAGTTGATATTGAGGATGTGAGTACACGTGCTACCAGCTCCCTTGGAAAGGAGGCTGTTTATTGAATTGGGAGGATTTCTGCTTTGTTCTCAAGTTGAGAACAAACTCTCTAAGTGGTTCCTCTATTAGGAGCACCAGTTGAATGACTGACTGTGAGAGCTTGGGGGTTCATAGGAATAAAAGGCATTTTAGAAGTTATTTTTTTTTTTTACCAGAGCTGTTTTGACTGATCACTGTTACTGCAGACCAGCAACTATTTGGGACTGCTGCAGTTAGAAGTTATTTTGATAATATGATTGCTTAGACCAATTTAGAATGCCAGCCTTAATCCTGATTAAACTTGGAAGTGGTTGTGCTAAACACAAAGTCTGCAAATGCTTCTCCATGCTCTTGAGCTTTGCTGTGTGGTGTTTGATATACTGTGCACACTGGGCATCTCTTTTAGTTTCTTTTTTGTTAGCTAAAGGAAAAGTCTTCCAGGGCAGCTGGAGCAGATTTGGGAACAGCTGTTACTGAAGGTGGCTGTTGTTTTGCCAATTGACAGGGTTAGCAAAAAGGACACAGACAACAGCTTGAAAACAAAACCAAACTTATTTTACTTCAGTTCAAAGCAGGAAAAAAAAAAGAAAACTAAGCAAGGTACAAGGATAAACAGGGTAATGCACCTGATCATCACCACATGGGTTAACTAGAGTGATTAAGATACATCACTAATTGCCCAAATACTTTACCATCATCCAGATCTGTGCATCAGCTGAGGAGCCTCATCACAGTGAAGGATCTGGAGAACCTTTCCCAGCAATTGGGAGGTCCTACACAGTGTGTCTGCTTGTAGGTGAGGTCTCCACCTTTGCTGTGAGAGGGTCCTGCTCTTATACAATCAAATAAACAAATTAAGTGGACAGAAAGGCAGGGGAACATCTGGTGGGTGGGTTTCACTTCACTTGGGCACATCCTGGATCTGCCCAGGATCTGAGATGCATCCAGGAAGCTCCTGTTTTGGTAGCATTCTCCTTTTGGTTTCCACCCAAAGCCTATCTAGGGCTTAAGGAAGAACCAGGTGAGTATCTTTAGCTACTCAACTTTGACCAGGTACTTGTGAACAAGGCGAGACACCTGGTTTCATGGCCTTGACAACATACCCTTAAACAGGAAAAGATAAATATATTCTCATAACACGTTATCTATATTGCATATTTTGCTTATGAGCACACTGATTTCACTAATGATCTGGTACTAATGTTACAGACAGTTTGGTTGTGAGGTTCATCTAGAGGTCAGCTTTGGTTCAGGCCTCAGGACTTCAGCTGTGTGTATCTAGTGGTGAAGTGTGTCCGTGTGGGAACTAATATCGTGGCCCTTCTCTGAAACTGAATTTTCTATGAAGGCTGCTGTATAAATAAGAAACCAGGAATCTGCACTGGGGTGGCCTCACCTCCAGCACTGGGGGCAGTTTGGGCACCACAGGAGAAAAAGGATCTAAAGCTGCTGGAGAGTGTCCAGAGGAGGGACACAACATTGGGGAAGGGTTTAGAGGGGAAGGGTGTGAGGAGAGGCTGAAGGTGCTTGGTTTGTTGAGCCTGGAGAAGAGGAGACTGAGAGGAGATCTCCTGGGGGTCTAGAACTTCCTCCCAAGGGGCAGAGGAGGGGCAGGCGCTGATCTCTTCTCTCTGGCCACCAACGAATGCCAGGAGCAGAGGGAATGGCAGGAAGATGTGGCAGGGGAGGGGGAGGTTGGCCATGAGGAAAAGGTTCTTGAGGCACCCAGAGGGTGGTGGAGCACTGGCACAGGCTCCCCAGGGAGGTGCTGATGGCACCAAGCCTGACAAGATTGCAGCAGCATTTGGCCAAGGCCCTGAGGGACATGGTGTGAATGTTGGGATTGTCCTGTGCAGGGACAGGAGTTGGACTCCATCATCCTTGGGGGTCCCTCTCAACTCACAGCATTCTGTGATTCTATTACCTGTTTAAAATCTTTTTATGCTTAGAGATCCTGCTGCCTGTGTTGTGTTGGTTCAGTTCTGTCAGTAAATAATGATGAATGAATGTATTCTTCTCTTAAAAATTATCCAAAGGTATTATAATGTACTTGTAAGAAGGAAGGTTGACTGAAGTTTTAGGTTAGACTGGTTGAAAACTTCACTTGGCTTCAAATAGATTGGGCAATTGTAATTGGGGCGAATATCCACATTAGTGAAACGGAAACAAATCCATAGCTGGGATTTTTGAATTTTAACTTTTTTGTACTGAAACTATGCAGATAGCACAGACCATTTGCCCTTTAAAACCAATTTTCCACCAGGAAAGAAGCAACTTACAGGTCTAACAGGAATTCTATTGCAAGAACTCTATAAGCATTCCAGAAAAATTGTCATGACTCTGGTTCTGTTTGTGCCTTTTAAATTAATTTCTGCCTCATTTTGGAGCAGCCAGGAGAGGATGGGGAGAGCAGTTGTATCAGGGGAATTCAATTTTATTTTTTCCCTCTTTGCAGTGAGACCAGTGAGGTTCTGCAGTACACAGCAGCTGATGTAGAGGATGTGGAGAAGGTAAGGGTTTGCTGCATATATCGATTAAAACAAATTAAAAAAACCTTGCAAGAGTGAAATGTAAAGAGAACAGGTTGTCCTAGGTAACAAACTTAGTTAACTGCTTAATGCATTTAGTGTTTGTTGCTCTGGCAATGATTTGGGCTGGGTCTGTCCTAGAAGATTTCAATGAGTGAGTGTCATTTTGTCAGGAGTGTGGAAATCTCCCATCCCTTTACCAAGATACTTGGCTGGCTGAGCAAACATAGCCCCTCACAGGGCACATGATTATCCATAATAATTTCTTTAGTGCCTTTTGTCTGATGTAACTTACACTAGGTGTTTCCAAATGTGGTTTGTTTTTCCAAGTAAATCCTGTGAGGGAGGTGGAAACAGCATTTCCTGACTCCCTGCTGAGCTGGGCAGTGTTTGGCTGTTCACTCAGCATCCCTGTTTGGAGTGGCTGGTGACATGGGCGAAGCTCTGCATAGCTCAGTTTGGAATCTTCTGACATTAACCAAGAGGTAAGTCACCCCCAGCCTTCAGCTGAGACTTTGTCTGCCTGTATAAGGTCTGTCTCTGGTGGCTTTTGCCATTGTGCAGCTTCCTAAGATCCAGGTTGGTGCACAAGTTCCTATGTGATAAAATAGCTATTGTTTTCTAAAAGATAGTCAATATTTGGTAATAGCAAAGAGCAGGGTAACCAGAGCTGTTGCAAGCTCTGGAACCTTGGGTTCTTCATCTGTGTGAGCTTAGCAAAGGGTTTATCAACTGCAATTTTTCCTCCAAATGGTTTTGCCAGACATGTTAGCCCTGGAGCAAGCCAGATAAATTGCCTTCTCATTGCTAGAATTAAACCATCTCTTATTATGTCACAGGATTATCATGAGATCACTGCTTTATTTTTGGAGTGTGTAAAATATTCCACTCCACTGTGTTATTTTTTGGAGT